AGTATGAAAGGGAATGGGAAGACGAGAGAGAGAGAGAGAGAAGAGAGAGAAGAGAAGAGAGAGAGAGAGAATGAGTTAAGAGAGAGAGAAAGAGAGAGAGAAGCAGAGAGAGAGAGGAAGAGAAGAAAGTTTATATTAGGCTATGTTACAAGAATGTGTCAATTGAATGATTTGGAAAAGAAAACGGAAAATTATGAGACTTTATATGAAGGGAATCCCATGTGATTTGTGAGAAGAGAAAATTAAGGAGATATAGGGGATGGTACGAAACTTGTTTAATATCAAATAAACGAAAAGAAAACGATAATTAAAGAGTGGGAAGAAAATGTGTGGGAGATGGAAGAAAACGAGATTAATGGGATGACCAAGAATGCGAATGAATGAGCTGAAAGAAAACGGAAATTAAAACTTTGAGAATGGAATATGTGAGAGAAAATAAAATAGGAACATAAGGAATGGAAAGAAATGTAAATAAATGAGTGGGAAAGAAAATTGGGGAAAAAAAGGAGAACAGTGGTAATTAAAAAACGAAAATCAAGAATGGAAAAGAAACCAGAATTCCCGTTTTTTATATTAGTAATGTATAAGAACACGAAAATAATCATTCACAGAAAATGGAAGCCACATATGAGAAAGTCATCGAACTGGAAGAAAACGAGAACATAACAAGAAAATGGGAATCAACAAATAGGGGGAAACTACACTAAAATAATAGGAAAAAACAGGATGATTGGAAGAAAACGGAAGTACATGAGAGAAAGAAAACGGAATTGATTAAGAGGGAAACAGAATAATTAATGAGATGAAAAACATAAAAGACATTAATAAGCGTCGTAAAGCATGGGCTTGATAAAGGGGAAAGTGAATTGGTAATTAATTGAACAGGAAAGAATTGGAAAGAAAACGGTGGGATTAATGAAGAAAGCGTTAAGAAATGTAAAATCTGAATTAAAGGGATTGTGAATTACAGAAAATAAGAGACAAATAAAACTGAAAACGAGAAAAGAAATAAAAACAAATACCTAAAATACAACAAATAAGAGACACACACACACATCACACACAAACACACACCACACACACACACAACACACACCACACACACCAAACCACACACACAGACTCACACACCTTTCCAAACACACATACACACAAAAAAAAAACAGACAAAAAAAGAAATTACAGAGAAATGTGAAAAAGATATATTAGAGATAAAAGTAGCTACTGAAAGTGGCCGGATTAGCAGCCTCTTTTAGGCCCGAGTGAATAGGCCTACCTTGCCTTATTAGGGTCAAGGGACTAAGTGGTTCAGGTCAATACCGAAAGAGGAAAAGAAATCTACATCATTAAGGAAAATAATTATGATGATGATGATGATTTTGTTAATAATATATGAATGATGATAAATGATACATGATAGATAATAATAATTAATTTGATTTAATAATAATAATAATAATAATGGTAAATCTTGGATAATAATTGAATAAATAATTAATAATGACATAATAATATAGTACAATAAGAAGAATAACAATATACAATATAATAATTTATTTTTTGTGTATCATATTGAAAATAGATAATAACAATGATAATAAAAAATATAAATAATGGAGGATCGATAGATAAATGATTATACGAAAAATAATAATAGATCATAAAAAATAAGAATAGAATGCATATTAATATGTCTAATTACAAAAGAGTACTAACGAATAAAGAACAAACAAACAACAGATGTTAATTGATTAACAAAATGGCAACGAATTTTCAACAGCAATTAAACACAAAAGCAAAAGGAACAATAAAAGCAATAACAACAGCAACAGCAATACTAAAACTACAACATAAACAACAGCTACGAACTAAACATAATCTACAACTACAAACAATAACATAAAACTAACATGAACAACAGTACAATCTACATACCGAATAATCATCTTTAATTAAAACTACCCAACTTAAACAAAAACAAACAATAACAACATCTACAACAACAATAAAACAACATCAACCCCTGAAAACCATACTACAACAATAAACATCTAACAACTAAAACCCTAACTACACAATAACAATTTCATCAAAAAATGCCCTAACTCATACTGCAACAGCATACAATAACAACAATAACCATCAACCCACTAATTACCACTTACTACATACAAAAAACATACAACAGTTAATAACATCTCACAAACTAAAACCACTAACT